ATTGGGGAACCCTAATGGTAGTACTAGCCAACCCTGATTAACAGAGACTCTCTGAAGGTGAAGGTGGTTCTCAAGTCCATCGAAGGTAACTATACTTAACAGGCTGACTCTTAAGCATAGAGAGCAGAGAATCAAGACTCAAACCTAAACTCAACACAAACCCAAAACCTTCAGTAGGAGCTGAGGTTAAGTCTGAAGTCAATTCAAGCCCTAATAATAACCACATCCCAGGCCGAGACCACCACAGGTTCACATGAGGAAAGGCCGACACTTTTCCTCATTCTCATTATCAGCAGGCACTTACTCGTTGTCCCCAGTCTCCTCCAACATTTCCCACTGACATGAAGAAGCAAGGAGCGTATGGGGAGAACAGCTTCTCATGGCCACAGCAGAGACTGGGCGGCAGATAGTAACAAGAACCATCCATCAGCTGACCTGTGTTCAATTAGACCCTCAAAAACACAGGCAAGCTAGAAACAGTGGTGAACATCTATAGTTTGAAAACTTTTGCTGGTGGGCTGGGGATATAGCTCAGTGACAAAGTGCTTGCCTAGCATGCACAAGGCCCTGGGTTCAATCCCCAGTACCATAAAAATAAAAAAGAAAAGAAAGAAAACTTTCACTGGTACATATGGAATTTAAAATTAACTAAAATTCCAGGATGCTTAGTGCCTTCTAGACTGCATACATGAACAAAAATGAAAAGAATTCTTAGATTAAAACATTGGTCTTTCTTTTATATCTACTAACCTCTTAAGTCAATAAGAACTAACCAGAAAGTGCATTTCTTCTTCTCCTGAGGCATGTACAATCTCATCTTTTTTTGATGTTCTCTTTGAAAAAATACACTTTATTGGTTACCAGATCTAGGATACTGCAGAGATAATCTAAATCTCTAAATTTTTATTTTTGATGATTCTGACATAATAAACATGACTCTTGGGTCTGTGGGCCTGCGTTACAAATTAGGTTGTTTATACATCTATTTTTTTTGTCTTTTTTTTTTTTTTTTGTATTTTTTTGAGACAGGGTCTTGCTCTGCAGTTCAGGCTGGCCTTGAACTCATTTTGTAGCCCAAGCTGGTCTCGAACTCACAACAATCCTCCTGCCTCAGCCTCCCGAGTGCTGGGATTACAGGCATGCATCACCACACCTGGCTTTTTTTGTCTTTTTGAGACAGGGTCTTGCTACGCAGTTCAAGCTGGCCTTGAGCTCACTTTGTAGCCCGGGCTGGTCTCAAACTTTCAACAATCCTCCTGCCTCAGCCTTGATCCTCCTGCTTCAGCCTCCCAAGTGCGGGGATTACAGGCATGCGCCACACGCCTGGCTACACACACATTCTTAACAAATCTCTTTTACAACTGGATAAACCACATTCTCAATTAATAACGATGAATTAGTTTTCTTACTCTAGAACAAACTGTTTCCCAAATGGATATCTGAGAACCCAAGAGATCCTATATCAACCAAGCCTATCTGAGCAACTTTGTTGAAGATAACAATATGTAATATAACAACCATTATTCAAATTAAAAAAAAAAAAAAAAAACAAAGCCTAGAACTTGGGAGGCTTAACTGTTTTTGGTTTTGTTTTCTGAGACAGGGTGTCTCACCTCTAGCCCAGGCTGACCTCAAACTCATGGCTGTTCTCCTGACTCAGCCTCCCAGATGCTGGGATTAGAGGTCACCACATCTGGATCCGGGAGGCTTAACTGGTTTTGATCTTACATTAATCTGGGTGCACATGAACAGCCAAGCAAAGGGTGCCTGAGTTGCAAAAATCAAATTCTGATCCCTAATCTTCATCCCCAAAGTTCAAGAATTCCAGCTTACAGTAATGATTCTAATTAGCAGTGAATCTCTCTCTAAAATATTCCAAGATGAAAAAATGCTATTGGGGAAAAGATGCTGCTGTAGTCATAAGGCTGGCAGCCTGAGAGGCGAGGAAAAATAGCCAAGGGTTTAAGTAAAGCTCTGGCCAGTTTCCAATGGTTAACAATGCTGTGATGTGTGCCTCTGCTCCTACATCCACCCCCAGCCCCAGCCCTGCTGGGCCGCCGGTCATCATGCAGCACTGAAGCTGAGGGCCAACAGGCAGCGGCAGCTACAAATGAGCAGCAGGAAGCCCTACTCTTTGAATTCCGTGACGAAGTTCAAGGAACAAGCTTGAGGCAGACAATTCAGTTCTTCCCATTGGTAGAGCCAGGTATGAAAGGAGAGTAAGTGGGGGCATGTTTAGTAAAAGACCTAGCATTCTGATTGGAGGGCTCATGAAAATATCTTTCCCTCCATGGGAGTTACTGTAAGGACCAGTTCAGATAAAATGTGCTTCGTAAACTACAAAGCCCACCAAATATTATTTACTCAAGGTAACAAATAATGGCTACTTCTTATGGCCCTGGGGAGCATCAGACAGGGAACAGACACATGAACACAAAGGTATCTCTTCAAAGCAGTACTGACTAGGGATGAAATTGCAGTTGACACAGTCTGAAGGACTGCTCAGGAAGCTTACACTGGAGCTCAGCCTAGACAGGTAAGTAGGGAGTAGCCAGGCACAAGATGTTGGGATGTACATTCCAGGGAGAGAAAAATAAATAGGTGTGAAATAAAGAGGTGTGAAAGTGCACAGGGTTTAGGGCTCAGTGTGTTATCTTGTGTGGCTACAGGACAGGCTACACGGGAGAGTCTACCTGGAAATGGAAATGGACAGGCAGGCTGGAACCAGGCTGTGCAGGGCTCTGCACTACATCAGAGTTTAGGTATCGACAACCAGTACAACTAAAGGAATTTAAAGAACAGAACAGACATTTTTGTTTGTTTTTCTCTCAGCCTCTCTCCCTTTGCCCTGACACTGTAAGAATATGGCATATCACCTGCTTTCAAGCTATAATCTACCAGAAATATAATGTACATAAACCCTATCACAAACTGGGTGTGGTACTGCATGCTTGTAATCTTAGCACTCAGGAAGCTGAGGCAGAAGGATATCTGGGAGTTCAAAACTAGCCTGGGCTACACAGGGAGTTCAAGGCCAGCCTGAACTACATAGTGAGACCCTGTCTCAAAAACAAACAAAAAAAGGCAATATTAAAAAGAAATATGTATCATTTGGGACATGTCAAATATAGTATATTCCTGGGTAATGTCCATATTAATGTGTCCTGTATGCTGTGAGGAATGCATATGCTTTGATGGGTAAGAATGAGGGTAAGGCTCTATGACTGCCTCTTTATTCAGGATTTGCTATTTGAAAAATCACCCTTACCTGCAGTTCTCACTATAACAAGGGCCCTGAAGAGCTAAGCTTGATATATGTACTCATTTCCCAGGCCACATTTTCCTTAACAATAAATGCACAACTGGCCCACACAGGAAAGAAAACCCTAACTCATTGTAGCTTTTGTTTGTGCCTTTAGAACCACATGGCTTTAAGGGTGTACCCATGTGAGGGACAGCCACCACAACTAGTATGTAATAAATGAGACCCAAAAAAAAAAAAAAAAAAAAAAGGGCTGGGGATATACCTCAGTGGCACAAGCGCCTGTCTGGCAAGCACAAGGTACTGAGTTTGACTCCTGGTACCAAAAAAGAAATAAAAATTAAAAATAAAAAAATAAATGAGAGAAATGCAGAAAAATGAGAGTAAAGGACACACAAAAAGTAGAACAGGAAAATGAAGCCTCAGAAAAAAGAGAAAGAGAGCAGTGGTCTGATAACTGGTATCAAATTATGTGAGATTGGCCCATATGCACTTCTGCTTCTGTGTATTTCAACAACCAAACAATCCCTGTAAAACTGCTCAAGAATACAGAGAACAAGGCAAGAAAATGGCCAGCATTAGGGCCCTGGGAACATCACATGGAAGTCAGAGAGAAGAAAAGCCACTGGAAGAGGCAAAAAAGTCATTCAGAAAAGGAAGAGTGACTCGGGAAAAGGCAGTGTCCTAGAAGTTAGTGTAAAACACGGTTCTGAGGAACAGACAACATGGTCAAATACTATACAAAAACCAAATCAGAGGAAGATAAAACTAGGTTATTGGATATGACAATTAAGAAAGCACTGCTGACCTTTCCCAGCGCAGCAGGAAACATCGAACTCACAAACTCTGCTTCTCAGATCTGACTGCCGCAGTGGGCACACCATTCATCCTTAGGCGGGTCTTTAATGCTTCCACTTGACTTTTAATAAAATCTTTCTCCAGTCAAGCCAGTTTGGATATGTTCTGTATCTTAAACTACATGGTGGTAAAATTTATATAAAAAAAATCCCTCAACTAAACATTTAAGATTTACGTGCTTTAGAGAATAAAAATCCCTTGCTAGGTATGGTGGTGCACACTGTAATCCCAGCACGTAGGAGTTTGGTTTTTTTTTTTTTTGGTCTTTTTGAGACAGGGTCTCCCTGTGCAGTTCAGGCCCGCGGTAAGCTCACTTTGTAGCCCAGGCTGGTCTTGAACTTGCAACAATCCTCCTGCCTCAGCCTCCCAAGTGCTGGGATTACAGGCATGTGCCACCATGCCCAGCACTTAGAAGTTTGAAGCAGGAGTTTTGCTCAGGAGTTTGAGGCCAGCCGAGGCTACATAGTGAGTTCAAGGCTAGTCTGAACTACTACATAGTGGCACTCTGTCTCAAAACAAAAAGAGAGAGAATAAAATCCCCTTTGTCCCATCCCTACTTAGTAATGGAATTTAAAAATAAAAATAAAGGAGTTTATAAAACAGTTTTTTCAAGCTGGCAGTAAAGTGTTCTTAGAATCTTAGGAATCATTTCAAGCATCCTCACCCTCAGCCTTCTGAGGTAGTAGCATATAATATGGTCGTTTCCACAGTCAGGACTATAACAGAAGGAAGGAGGGAGGAAGGGAGGGCACATGCATACCTTCAAGGCTGGCACAAGGCAGGCAATCTAAACCATGTGAGAGAAGGGAGAGACAGACCCAGCTTAGGAGCACTAAGAGGTGCTAGAGCCGCATATATGACATACATGAAGGAGTCCTACCTTCATCAAGTGCTTGTTGACCCACTTGGTAAATGTTTTCTTCTGAACCCGGTCCCGCTCATCTGCAAATTAAACACAGAGAAGGGCTCAGGACTGTGCAGGCAATAAGTTCCCAATCCCGTGCCTTGCCCACAACTCAGTCTCTCCAGGACCACTTTAAAAAGTTCATTTTAAACCAGATATGGTGGCGCACACCTGTAATCCCAATACTCGAGAACCTGGGCCAGGTGTGGTGGTGCACACCTGTAATCCCAGCACTCGGGAGGCTGAGGCAGGAGGATCACTGTGAGTTTGACGCCTGCCTAGGGTACAAAGTGAGTTCAAGGCCAACCTAAGCTGCATAGTGAAACCCTGTCTCAAAAAGGCA